AAAAAACAAAACAAAACAAAAAAAAAAACTGGGTCTCTGAGCGTGAGCACAGCCGCCCCTGCAGCGTCTGTGGAGAAGCGACCCGGTGGCGCGGGCTGGACCGCGGTTTGGACACAAACACCCACCTGCAGGGCTCGGTTCACACTCGCCGGAGAGGAGGTGGAAGTCCGGAGCGCGCGCTTCGGTGCCCAAAGCAAACAAGGTTTCCTGGCGTCCTTGTCGTGGTGTACGTTCAGAAGCAGGGCCCGGAGCAAGGGCGCTGAGGAAACCGCACCCCCGTCGGCCCCCCAGCACGGTCCCACGCACGGCCCTGCCGGGAATGTGCGTCGGGCGCGAGGGGCCGGCCCTTCGCTGCTGGAACAGGGGCATTCCATGCCCGCATTGCCATTGGTGCAGGGAGACGGGGGGTGTGCCCCCCGCGGACGTCGGCCCCCAAACCCCGGAGACCCAGACCTCGGGAGGAGTCAGGAGGTCGCGCGTCGGCCTCCAGCCGGTGCACGTGTGGTTGTGTCTGCCTCCCGCAATGTCCCCGCTCAGCCGCGCTGACCGAGGGAGGCAGGACAGACAGCTGGACCCCGTGCGAGGCGCACCTGGGACCCCCTCCCCAACGGCGCCAGAGGCGCGCCCCCGACAAGGGGGCGGGGAAGAAGGTCCGGCTGGTGATGAGGCGGCGCCTGGGAAACCAACGGGCCGCCTGGAGATGCCCCTTGGCCGGGCCGGTGAGCCCTCCCATCGACCCCCACCCTGGGGGGCCAACCTCCTTTCTCTCCGTGTGACCACCCGCCCAGCGGCACCGCGGTTGGGGGCCTCCCTTTCACATCCCTTTCGGTGTCCCTGGAGGCAGCCGGGAGGGCGGGCAGGATATGAGGAAGCGAACACACACCTGCTACCTCGCTCTGTGTCCCCCAGCGAGGACATTTGCCAGGGCCCCTCCCCGCGCCCCCCCCCCCCCCGGAGGTGACCCAGGCCTGCCAACTGAGCCTCTGAACCCTTACCCGGGACCAGCAACGCCGTGGGGGATCGTGACCCTGTGACCAAGTTCAGGCAGCAGCTGCGGGGACGTCCCTGGGGACCGCGCCGGGCATCCCCACCTGTGTGCGTCCGGAGCCTCGTCCGCCACGCGGAGGGACGCGGGCTCTGCCTTCTCTCGCGAGAGACGAACAGATGTGCCAGCTGCGTGCGCTTCTGAGATGTGCTGGGGGGTCGGGGGCTGCGCCAACATCACCCTTGTGCTTCGTGTGGGGAAACTGAGGCTGGAAGGGGCGCGGGAGGTGGCCCAAGCACACTGCACCAGGTTTCTGGCCTCCAAGGCCTTTCTGCTTGGCCAGGTGCCTGGCCGCGGAACACCTCGTCACGTGCTGGTCTCAGTGCTGAGCGTTTCTGGGGGGAGGGGGACTCAAAATATCGAGATGCAGACCTGGGCTTCAGGCTGCAAGGATTTGAGGTGGGAAGAAATCCAGAATGGCTTCCAGGAAGAGGTGGGACTGGCCAGGTCGAGGTGGCACCAGGGATGTCTTGAGTGGGATCAGGGGCAGGGATGCAGGGGGTGGGGTGTTCTGGGCGGGGCTGGGGATGACCCCAGCAGGAGGGTGACATTTTAGCACCAAGCCCACAAAAGCCGTGGAAGCTTACAACACGGTTGGCAATTTTGGAGCTGAGCTTTGGAAAGAGAGCAGGTTGTGGCCGTGGGCCGGGCTCGGGATGTGAGTGGGGTGGGCGGTGCCTGAGTGGGGAACACCACACAGGTGGAGTCCCTGGGTTGCCAGCAGATGACAGGGGCTGGAACAGAGGGGAGGGGTGCCCTGTGACTCCCGATGGCTGGGAGGCAGGGAGGCATGGACCAAGGCAGGGCAGTGATGTCTGTTGAACGTGGTGCCCTTGTCCACCAGCTGGTGCCGGCTGGACCCCCAGAGAGGCTTACAAACAGGTGTGGGGCTGATATTGGGGACCCCGGGTGACCTTGGTGTTGTTTATGGGGGACCCCAGACAGGGGGAGGGGCCAGGGGAAGCTAGTGGCAAAGGGGGGGTTGAGGACAGAATCGAGTGTCAGATACGCAGGGCCAGGGCATGGTCTCTCTGGTGTGGCACTGCTCACATTCAGGCTGGGTTATTCTGTCATGTTCTAAGGGGCATTGGGTGGTATCACTCGTCTGCACCCATCAGATGCCAGTACATTTCCTCCCCCAAGTTGGGGCAACCAGAAATGTCCAAAGTCCCCTGGGAAGAGGGGCAAATTCACTGCTGGTCATGAACTACTGTGATAGAGAGATGATACACAGATGATAGATAGATAGATAGATAGATAGATAGATAGATAGATATTGATGAACAGATGGATAGATGGTTGGATGGTGGATGGATGGGTGCATGGATGCATGGATGAATACATAGATGGATGAATGGGTGGATGGATGGATGGATGGATGGAAGAAAGAATGTGTTGATGGCTGAATGGGTGGATAGATGGAAGGAAGGAAGGAAACAAGGGTGAGTGGATAGATGGATGCATGGATGGAGCAATAGTTGGATGGAATGATGTGTGCATGGCTGAATGGACAGTTAGATACATGGATGGATGGAAAGATGGATGGACAGATGGTCTGATGGATGGGTGAACAAATGGATGGATGGGTGGATGGAAGGATGGATGGATGGATGGACAGATGGATGGATGGATGGACAGATGGATGGATGGATGGACAGATGGATGGATGGATGGATGGATGGATGGATGGATGGACAAATGGATGGGTGGATGGACAGACAGATGGATGTGTGGATGGGTGGATGGACGGACAGATGGGTAGATTGACAGATGGACTGATGGATGGGTGAACAAATGGATGGATGGGTGGATGGAAGGATGGATGGATGGGCAGATGGGTGGGTGGGTGGACAGACAGATGGATACATGGATGGGCGGATGGACAGATGGACTGATGGATAGGTGAACAGATGGATGGATGGGTGCATGGAAAGATGGATGGATGGATGGACAGATGGACTGATAGCTGGGTGAAGAGGTGGATGGATGGATGGATGGATGGATGGATGTGTAGATAGATGGATGGATGGGTGGATGGATGGATGGATGGATGGACAGGTGGATGTGTGGATGGACAGACAGATGGATGTGTGGATGGGTGGATGGATGGACAGATGGGTGGATGGACAGATGGACTGATAGATGGGTGAACAGGTGGATGGATGGATGGATGGATGGATGGGTGGATGTGTAGACAGGTGGATGGATGGATGCATGGATGGGTGCATGGATGCAGGAATAGGTAGCTGGATCGGTGATGTATGTGTGGACCGATGAAGTAATCCCAGTACCTCTCTCAGCACCTGTCTCTTAGGGCAGCTGTAACACATGAGCAGAAACTGGTGTCAGGGATGTTGGAAACGCTCTGGAGCAACACCGAGGTGGTGGTTATGCAACATGGTGAATGCAGTCGAAGCCACTGCAGTGTTGACTTTAACATGGTGCCTTGTGTGTCAGTATAAGAAAGACCGAGTGTAACAAAATAGCCGTCAGATGCTGGTGCTCTTACTTCCTCATCCTGGGCTATAAACAGTGCCTACAGGACACACTGCCAGTGCCCTGGGTGGCACAGGTTCTGAGTCACGCTCACAGGAAGCCATGAAGGGGCGTTCCTGAAAACCCCAGCACAAGATGCCCATCCTAGACCACAGCTGGCTGGTTTCCTTCCCCCCCGAGCAAGGCTCCCTTCTAAATAAACACATTGGCCGCCATTTGTAAACAGGCGTGCACACAATGGAAACGCCGAGCCTCTGCACCTGGGGCAGTGCGCAGAACGTCCTCTGAGCTGTGACCTTGATTCCCAGCTCATGCTGTCACCACGGTGACATTCGATGCCGTGCATTCCACGCTGGCTCCCCAGTGCTGATGTCAGGCTCCGTGCACAGCGCGGTTGGTGAAAACGGATGCTGGGGTGAGGAGATGGGGGACCAGAGGGAGTATCCAGGGACCAGAGAAATGTTTAGGGACAAGGACATTTTGGGAACAGAGGGCTTATTGGAGACACATGCCGAGGATCGTGGCCCCGTCATCCACATTCAGGGATCTCACTGGGGTCCCAGGGACCCGCTGAGTGCACTTTCCCAAGAATGTCAACAGGCCACGTGTGCTCCGGCAGAATGACCCAACTCACAGCATCTGACCTGTGTCCCAGCCCAACACAAGAATTCTCCTCAGATCCTCTTTCCTACTGACACTAGTTTCCATTTCGCTCAGCACATCACACAACTTCCTTAGAGCTTTCTACTCATCCCGAGGCTCCGGGAGGCGTAGCAGCAAGCCCAGGTCACGTGCCCTGGGCCTTCCCATAGGGCACTTGGGGGCAGGGGCTGGGTGGCTCCTCAGCCCCCTGCCTGGTGCCGCCCTCCACGTGACGAGTGATGTTGGCATGGCGTGGTCAGGGCTGTCCTTGTAGGTCCCGCCTCCCTGAAGGTCAGGCTTCAACACCCTCCAAGCACAACCCAGCCCCTGCCTAAGGCTGCCATTCTCACCTGTCCACAAGGTGAGCACCCCACACCCCACCCCATCTTCTGTGCACTCACCTAGCAGGAGGCCAGGGACCCCATGCCATCCCCCGGCTCTCTGACCACTTCTGCTGTGATACCTCATGCACCTGGGTGGGACGCCCGATGACAGGTCCTTGTATGAACAGAGTAACTGCAGGACACAGCTCTTCCCTCCCAAGCATGTAGCCCAGACCATTCAAAACACGCTCAGACAGATACTTCTTCATAGTGGCATTACTCACAACACCAAGAAGTGGGGAAAACCCAAATACCTATCAGTGGAAACATGGATAAACAGCATGGGAGTTTCATCCACACGATGGAATATGACTCCACCATGAAAAGGAACGACATTCTGACCCCTGCTACCCCATGGATGGACCTTGAAAAGATGATACTCAGGGAGAGAAGCCAGATGCACAAGGACACATCGTGTGGGATTCTATTTACAGGAACTAGAAGCTGAGGGCGGGGTGTGGCTGATTCTGTATCTGGTGGGAGTGTGCTTCCTAGTCCACAATGACCACTGTGCTCCATGATGAGGAAAGGAGTAAAGACAATAAGTGTCCACAGAAAGCAGCTGCCGGTGGCCTGACGTGGCCAGACCTTACTGTGCAGGTATTGGGTACATGGTGTAGAGTGACCAGCCATCTTGATTTGCCTGGGAAGCAGGAGGTCCTGACAGGCAGGACCTGGAGGTCTAAAACGGGGACAATCCTGGCAAAATGGGTGTAGTCTGTTGAATGGTGGACCCCTTCCCCCCAAATATATGTCCATGCAATAATCTCCCCAGAGCCTGTGGACCTTATTTGGAAGTCCACGTCTTTGGAGATGTGGTTAACTGAAGGATCTGAGATGAGGTCATCTTGGATGAGGTTGGGCCTTAAATCCAATGACAGGTGTCCTTGTAAGAGACAGAAGAGGAGACACAGAGGAGAACCCATGGGAAAATGGAGACAGAGATGGGAGGTCTAGTACAGGATAAGGTTGGATAGATAGCTAGATAATAGATAGATGCAGATGGATGGGTGGATGGATGGATGGATGGATGGATAAATAGATACATACATACATACATACATACATACACATAGATACATAGGATGGATGGATAGATGATGGATGTATGGGTTAGGTGGGTAGATAGATGGATAGATAGATGGATAGACAGATGGATAGA